CTGTGAACAAGTGATTTCCACTGGAAGCGTGGAGTATCCTTTTGTACACATTTTGTGCTTCTTCTGTAGTGAGAGAACAAATAAATTCTACAAACACTCTGTCTGACCTATCCAGTGAAGCCCATGCAAACATAAATGAAGCCCCGCCCATGCGGGAGGCTGCTGTAGAGACCAGGAGGTGAGAGTCACTGGTAAGCCTCCTGGAGCCCAGCGTCACGTGAAGGTAGCGTTAAAAGAGGGGCATCCAAACCCCGAGACAGAATGACAGCTCTCACGTCCCTTCCATTTGAAATAAGCACAAGAACCCTTCTCAGCCTGACTTTCTGGCCCTGTGGAGCAAGGCTTTCTTATTCATTCACCTGCTTCTCTTCTGAAGAGCTTGCTAGGAAACTGCTACAGGCTTCACTTCTAAGGAGCATGTAAATGCAAACACTGGACTCTATTTTTGGTGTGAGCCTGAAATCAGCATTGAGGGGTTGGGGAGCCAAGGCCCCTGACCCCATTTCCAGTGTTTCTCAGTCATATTTTCAATCAGCATAAAATGATATAGATGTCGTGACTCCCTGGTTGAATCCTCCCTGCATTCTTCAAACCTCTTCAGATTCTCATGACACAAAATTCTGTGCACTGGGGGGATATGGTTCAGCTGGTAGAGTGCTCCCCTAGCATGCACAAAATCTTGGGGTTCAGTCCCCATAAACTGGATGTGGTGACACATACCTATACTCCCAGTATTCTGGAGGTAGAGGCAGGAGGATCGGAAGTTGAAGGTGTTCTTTGACTCCATAGGGATTAAAGGGAGCCTTTGATACCTAACACCCTGTTTCATAAAAAGAAAGAAACAAAAAAACTTTGGCTCTTTCTGCATGTTGCCTTTTCCCATGGCTTCAACTAAGACACAGAGCTAGGAGCAAAAGAGATACAGCATTGAGCAATTAGTGAGACTCAGAGGAAGTTCTCAGACAACCAAAGTGGGAACTCCATGTTCCTCCATCATTCTGGAAACTTCTGGCTCTTCCTCTGCACCAGAATCTAAAGCAGCAAGCAGCTGGCACAGACCCATGCAGAGGTGGGGTCAAATGTTGATGTTGCCACATACATCCTCCTCTTGTGTCTTTTCCCAGGCCACTCTCCTCCACCCAGCACACATACCACCTCTCATGAAACCAAAAGGGATTCCCATGGCCCCTGGACCAGCACCCAATCCCTTTGGCTTCTCTTGTCCACTAGTAACCCCCGGCCCTTAGCAAAACAGTTCTGGGATTAGCACACAAGAGGCCCGGCTCCAAATTCATCAACCACAGCCCTGCTGGGTATCAAGACTCCCATGTGTCCTAGAACTGGTCTCTCAGAAGCATCTCAGATACCACCCTATCCACCTCCCTGTATTGTTCAGTTGCAGCTCCTAGGGGTCACTTACTGAACATTCTGGAGCTGGAGGAATTCATAGGACAATCCACCTTTCCCCAGCCATGAGGTATGGGGCCAGCCCTCCAGCATGCTAAGCAGATAACCAGTCAATCCTAGTTCACTGAGGACCAGTTATAGCCTTGACTCTCCTGAGCCTGGATCCACAGTTGTCTGGATAGAGGAACAATGTCTCCCCACATGGGTTTGAAGCAGCTTAGACACAGAAAGAACCAGGTGAGAAATCAAAATGTCTATTCTGCTACTCACAAAAAGCCAGGCATCAAATTGTGACCATCCTTCAAGAGCAGGCAGGATGGGAGACCCACGTAGCCTACCCTCGGCACCTCAGCATTCCCCTAGTGGAGAGCTTTGCTTGTGTGTCTGACAGGGACAGAAGGCCACGTGCCAGCTGTCATGGGTTCCCCCAACAATTCTGTGTAAAACAATCTGGTCTCTGTGACTGTCCTCCTGCCCCCTGAGTCTGCTTACTGCAGTCCGACCTTTAGAGGGTTTCCAAAGTGATTTGTGAAAATGGGGACCTGACCAAGTTACTGTCCCTACCCATAGATCATTAGTGATTCTGCTCAAGTTTCAACATGGAATATGGTTTCCTCAGCCGGAAAGCTGAGGTGGGCTTTTTCTTAGAAGGCATCCCTCTGGGCATGCCCCCAAGAGCATGGTCTGGTCGTTAAGAACAGGATTCAGGAGGCAACCGAGCCTGTGTTTGAATGTCTGCACTTCAGGCTAAAGGTGTGTGACAGTGGACACATGGCCTAGGCTTTCTGAGGCGCCTTTCCTCATCACTGAAGGCTGCGGGGTTGTGAGGCTCAAGTCATTAGTATCTGACAAAATGTGAGAAATGGGCTGGGTCATTCAAATATTCCTACTTTGTCTGACATTTATATACACTGTCCTCTCCCTCTTATTTTATTTCATCTCCATGACAACCAGGCAAGCCAGCAGTCCATCTGTATCTCCATCTCAGAGACCAGATAGCTGTAGTCAGGAAGCAGCAAGCCTCTCCTCCCTTGGAACCCCTGCCGCACTGATAAGTTCTCATTACCCCAGTCTTCACAGTTGCCCTAGGAGGTACAGGGTCATGTCCTACTGGACAGATGAAAGACAACAGACCAGGGCTCACCTGAGAGCTCAATTCTTACAGAAAGAAGGTGCTGGGCAGAGGCAGATACGGCTGTAGGCCCTGGCCCTGACCCTGGCCCCTTCTCCACCTGGCTCCTGCTTCATCTGGGATGTTCCTTTTAGGAAAAATGGGTAAAAATCTGATGCTCTTGAGCCACAGTGCCACTCCCAGAGAGGGAGGAGAACACCTGTATCTAGAAACGTGCCTTCAAAGCAGCCCTCAGCCTGGTCCTCACCATATTCGCCCCAGGTTACATGTTACATCTATTTCTCGGTCTTGCCCTCACTGAGTCACTATCCCTGAGACCTGCCCCAGAGCAACAGGGCAAGTGGCATAGGGCCGGGATCCTGACTCACAGAGCCGACAGCAGGAAAGAACATGGGCAGAGGCAGAAATAGCCAGGTCTTGTTGAATTATGACAGCTGTGGATCATCTCTAGACTCCAGTGCACGGGGGTGTGTCTGGGCAGCACTGCCCACCCCAGACTGTAATGGAGGCTGTGAACGGTGCTGGGGATGTTCCTATGGAATAGAAAACAGCTCTGGGACTGGGGAGAGGAACAGAAAGAGGAGGCAAAGGAAATGAAAATAATCATCCATGAAGGAAGGAAAGCCAGCTGAGCAGGCATCCCCAGTTTTCATCTTAAAAAAAAAGAGAGAGACCAAATTATAAATTACAGGTCTGAAGAAGAGCAAATGGGGAATGCAGCAGCTGAGGAAGCTCTGACCCAGATGTCTAGGATGCCCCAAATGACACTGAAGGTAGATAGTGTATAGGAAGAGATCGTGTGGGCAGAGATATAGGCTCCAACCTCAAGAAGGCACCTAACAGAGAAGACAAGGGCTCCAGCAACATGGTACCAACTCTCAGCTGGTGCCAAGTTCGCGGCCAGATTTAAAAAAAAAAAAAAGAGAGAGAGAGCCTCACTGGATGTGGATGTCTCCTGGCTTTTTCTGCTTTTGACAGGCCAAAAGCAGGAGTGAAGTAGACATCCTTTGACCTCTGACTCCCTCTCCAACGACTACAGACTCTGCAAGTGTCTGGGGAGAGGGCTGCTTCTGGCAGGATGCTTCAAGCTCCACCTCAAAGAACAAGTCGGATAGGCCCTTGTACAGCCATGAGCCCCTGGCCTGTGCTTCCTTTATCAGCAGGCACGTGGCCAAGGACAGAGCATGTAGGCCCTGGAGACTAGTGAATCGGCACCAAGGGAAGCAGATGTGCCTACCATGGTCCCCAGGCACGACCGGGAACCAGCCATGAGGGGAGGAAATTTGCATAATAGGGATAATTTGGTACCAAAACTGTCCCCTGAAGTAAACTGCATGGATCTCAGTATAGTTCACAAATTTCACTTCTTCTTTCCCATGTTTTCTCAAACTAACTAGATATGAGGTAGAGTGCGTGACTTGTCCAAAGGTTTAGGGGTGTTGTTTTATCTTTACTGTTATCTAACTTCAGGAGTCAGTACCAGGCCTTTTCTCTCTCCACTCTGCCACTCCCTTGTGCCCAAAGTGAGCTTTTGGCACTCCCTCGGTCCCTCCCATGCATATGCCAAGTGGGGACACCCAAATGCTCTTACCTTGGGCACAAGCATGCAATATTCCAGACCCACAAACAGCATTAGTGGTCATTTGCCTCTTTGCTGTATACTTGACCAATGCTACCTTACTCTGCTGCTTCCCGAGAGCCTGCCTGAGCTTCCTCATTGACATTATCCCTGTGGCTGTCTGTGGGCAGAGGGTGGACCAGTCCCAGAGTAAGAAGGGTGTGTGGTTTCAGGGCTCCCCAGTTTCATTCCCCTTTCAGGCCTCCTCCTTTCATGGTACCACCCTCATCCCCACCCACAGATGGGGTACAGCCCTTCTCTAGCCCTTCCAGGGACTCCCTACTGCCCCCATAAATTCCCACTTCTGCAAGCATCATAAGCTAGTTTTTAATACTAATTTTATAACACCTCACAGGAAGGCAGTTGTGCATTTATATCCACTGATACTATTACCAAATTTTGAGGTGACAGATATTCTAAAGCATTTATAGATCTGTTCAGATGCTAGCAAAAAGAAAGACTACCCTGAGACACATTCCCTAAGCCAGCAACAAGAAGGCTAGATTGTGTTAAAACTGCCCCCCACCACATACATACCCCTAAGCAGCCACTGTGTTTTATATCAAAATCTGTGAGAGGAGAGTCATAAACCTACACTCTCTACAGATAATAAGGACAGGGCAATGTGAGGCATGCATAGCCTGGGACAGGAGGTTAGACTTTGAGAGCTTGCATCTCTTCCAGGTTGGTTGGTCCCAAAAGCAGACCATCAAGTGGCCTTGATGATTGATCAGCACACAAAGACACTTCAGCTCCTCACTAAAATGAAAGCCTTTCATGTTGCTCCTGCTGATTTAGCTTGTGACTGTGGATGCAAATGAGTTCAAATGGGCTTGTCTTGCCTCCATTTTTTAAACATTTAATTTAATTTAGAATATCACAGAATACAAAAGTAAAGCAGACCTTCTTATGAGTTCAACCTCACAATCTCAGGGACCATGAAGTGCAAGGTGGCTCTTCTGCAGGTAAAACCCATTCTCTCCATCATGACAGTCCTGTTCCCAAGCCATCTCTTCAGATGTCTACTAAACCACACCTAATTCCCACACAGTCTCACTACAAGAGCTCTGCTTGACCCCCTACTTTTCCCACACTGCACTGGCTGCTAAAACAGAAGTCACAGCACCCAGTGTTTTAAGCTTCCTCAAGACCCAGTCTGTTTCTAAGTAAGTTGGAGTTTGAGCATTCCTGGTACTGGGTGTTAAGTGCTGGACTCTCCCCATCAGACTGTGAGGTTAGAGGGAGGGAGCTGAGCTGGTTGCAGGCTTCCCAGACACCCACTTCATAATAATGGTATCTAGTGATGTGGGTCCTCCCAGTGTCCTGGACTCCCTGGCTCCAAGATGGGTCCTGCATAAGGTGATGATCTGGACCCTAGCTCCTGACTTTTCTTTTGGAAGCTCCTTCTCATCTTTGGAGAGGGGTGAATACAGCAGCACTCGCCCTGGAATCTCCAGAAGAGGCCTCTCCTTGTCCTGGCGTTCAGGCTTTCATCCAAGGACTCATCCTGAAGTGGGCAGTGGCCTGGCATGAGAAAAGCAGAGAGAAGGGCCATGAGGCAGAGCAGCCCCTTGAAAATAAGAAGCTAGGTATTGGAGCAGTAGGTATAGGGGAGCAGCTGTAACTCAAGGATTGGGACTTTGGCTTTCTAACTTAAGCAATTGTTATTCCTACCAGAGTACAGTGGTATAATGAGGTCCTATAGCATGGGTGAGTTTCCTCCCACTGACTCTGAACAGCCCAGCAGGCTGTTGACATCTCAGGACCCAAGGCCAGTGATGGAGATGCAAGAGGACAACAGATCAATGTCAAAGTTTTGCCAATGACTGCAGGCTGAGTTAGGTGTTCAGAATCAGCTTCAACACTGCACAGACAGAAGCCAGCAACCAGTCAGAATCCATAGACCAAGTGCATCTCAGCCAACTTTTGAAAAACAGGCAGCAAAAAGAATGAATAATGGAGGCATAGAAGATAATCAAAACCAGAGGTGCCAAATAGAAAGGAAGACAAAAAGAAAAAGGAACAAATAAAGGGCATAATAAGGAAATAGTGGCATATATAGGAAATGCTAATCAACCTATATCAACAATCATGTTAAGTGCCAGTAAACAAAACTTCAATTAAAACACAGACACTAGCTGGGCACAGTGGCATATGCTTTTAATCCCAGCACTTGAGAGGCAGAGGCACGTGCATCTCTGTGAGTTTAAGGCCAACCTGGTCTAGAGTGAGTTTCAGGACAGCTAGAGCTACATAGTGAGGCCCTGTCTCAAAATAATAATAATAATAATAATAATAATAATAATAATAATAATAATATTAATATTAAATAAATAAAAGACACTATTAGAATAAATACCAACTAAGACTTGTCTACAGATTGTCCATAGGACCTTCGCTTTAGACATAACATACAGGTTAAAAGTTAAAAAAAAAAAAAAAAAAAGGAGGAGAAGGAGGAA